AAAAAGAAACTACGGGGTATAAGTAGGACACAGAAGTACAGGTCCCAAGTAATCAGTTAGGTCTAGGAGAAACTTGCCTTCAAAAAGAATCATGTCCTTTTTATTTGGGGCATTATCACATTGAGCAAATCATTGTTTTGGGAAAATTTTACCTTTAAAATTTGATTTTAAAGCAATGAGCCTAATCCATGCAGTATTAAACAAAACACACATAACTAGCCATTTAGCCACTCTCATATACACATATCAGTAGCCACTCACTTTAACACACATACATATTAGGTAGCTAATTATACCCACACACAATATATGATGTAGACTACAGAAGTATTATTCAATATATCAATAAAAACACTTTTGTTTTGCAGGATTTTAGTATATATTATAATAAAATGTAATGAGTTACTGGGCAGATTTTAAAACGAGAAAACAATGGCTAATGAAGTTTAAGTATTTTGGATTCTTTTAAACAGAACTAAGAATGCCTGAGTTAAATCCTTATTACTAAGTACTGATTCGGATGACATATTAGAATATGTTTTGGAACAATTGGCAATGGATAAACTAATACTATTAAATCTAAAAGCTGCTAAATTATCCCTCTATCCATATTTTCTAAAATGGTATATGTTCTAATTATTATCATGCATGGTTATAAAATTTAATTTTTCAGTATATTAGGCAGGATGTTCCTAAGAAGTGCATTGTCTGGTGTATTAACCATTGTTCTTTGACTTTGCAGCTTAAAGATAAAGTACTCCACAGGCAGCAAGGAAGCTTCATCCTGACAGTGGAAGCTGGGAAGCAACTGCTTCTGTCTGCTGATAGTGAAGCAGAGGCCACCTTGCAGGCAGAACTAATCGATATCCAAGAGAGGTGGAAGGCCACCACATTGAGGCTAGAAGAGCAAAAGAAACAGCTGGCATTCCTACTCAACGTATGTATACCATACTCTTATAATATGCTTTTAGAGAACTAAAAGTGTTATGGACAAAATACTTGAATGGATAAAATGTCTATTTTACTCTGTGCATTTGTGCTCATTCAGTGACTGCTTCCCCTTCCCCTCTGTGTGTTTTTCCTGCTCCACCCCCCCCCTTCCCATCGAGCAAAGTCCTCGTGTAACAAAATGGAGATTCACTGTGTTAAATTGGCTGTTAGAGGAACTGCTTCCCTTTCTAACCCCTCCCCCGCCTCCTTTGTTCAATAACAGCTCTCTCTCAAGAATTTGCCACGTGTAATAAAATGGTGCTGGGATTCAAAGGAATGTCATGTGACGATGATGGGGTCATGCCCAGTGGGATGGTATCAGGAAAGACCTCCTAACTTTTAACCAATTGTTGAAGTATATTCTCTGTTTTCTATGACTATGCATATGGCATATAAGGAGCTCCCACCCCTCGGAATAAACACATTCCTGACGTTTTTCATGAAACTGAAACTGTGTCCAGTGTGAATTACTATTAGGAAGCATGCACGCATATACTTATTTATTTGGACTGGGGCAGATATACAAAGATTACCAAACATTTGATTTGATCCCTAAAAAAAGTGATTTCACTGCCATTTAGGAGTTAAATCACATGTATTTCTGTTTATACAGTGCTAGCCACACCTCCCCTAGCTGCGACTGACACAGCCTACATGGAAACAAAATGGTTTAATTTTTAATCATATGTAACATACTTTCAAAGTTTTTATCACCTGCTCTGTAAGCTGAACTTTAATCACAGATAGGAGGCTCCTGCAGGGTCTAGCAAGTTATTAACAGAGTAGGAGATAAGACATTTTCAATTAAACAGAATTTGTGACAAAGAACATTAGATGACTCTTTACAGGAAGTGTTTAGGAAGGCTGTTTAAATTACATTCAGGGTTGTGTGACTAGTGCTGCATAAACAAATCAATGTAACTCCTAAATGGCAGAGAATTGAGCAGTCAGACTGCAGAGGCTTGATCCAAAACTACCTAATTAATTTAACATTGTTTTGGTGACTATAGTGTTCCTTTAATATGTATAATGCATGCTAGTATTTCCTAAATGGCAGAGAATTGAGCAGCCAGACTGCAGAGGCATGATCCAAAACTGTCTAATTAATTTAACGTTGTTTTAGTGACTATAGTGTCCCTTTAAGTATGTATAATGCATGCTAGTATTTACTAAATGGCAGAGAATTGAGCAGTCAGACTGCAGAGGTATGATCCACAACTGCTTAATTAAGTTAACATTGTTTTGGTGACTATAGTGTCCCTTTAAGTAGGTATAATGTATGCTAGTATTTTTATTTGTTTAACAGGCTTTGTAATTTGTGACATTATTTACTCAACATGTTTCAGTCCAGTCTTGTCAAATCCACTCATATGAACGGGATTATAAATGTTAGAAGATATGTAGTTCTCTTGTAATGTATCCCAAGTTTAGAAAGCAGGGCTCACTCTGTCTTCCAGCTCGGATATTGGGGAATACATCGTCCAATCCATTGTCAGTTAACAACCTATAAAATAAATCCTTAAACAGAATTAATAGTAATTCTGTATAAATCACAGTGTTGTTTAATTAAGCCTCACTTTAAGTCTGATATTTATTGTCACTTTAATTTTTCTAGGCTAATTCAAATTACATTAAGCAGTAAGAAAATATTAATTAGCAGTAGGTACTTGGCGCAGTCTTTCAGGTGAAATTGCAAATGCTAACACAGTTTTTAACACAATAATGCAGATTTAGTTTTGTGAGCATCTTTCATGTATAAATGCATGTTGGGTGTTTTTGAATTCTTTGCCAATATCACAGACACGTAAAATGCATATCACTTAATTTTTTTGTGTAGAGGTTTTTGCTCACAATGTCCATGCCTTTTCCATGATAAATGCATGGATTTACTTACCACAGAAATGTAGCACACAGTGCTGCTTCGTCAGTGTGGATGTTAGTGTGGGCATCCCTAATGTCATTCATGCTATGAGTGATGGTTCCTGCATTCCTTCTGCCTAGTAAACGTGCCTTCATAGTAAAACATTTTCAAGGGCACATAGTTGTAGAATTTTACTAAAATATTTTATACATGGTAGAAATCAAAGTAAAATTTCTTATGAGAATGCTGTTTTTACCAAAAAAACAAAACAAAACGTGATTTAGGTTCAGATAGTGTAACAATACTCACAGCGATCTGGAGCATAACCATTTGCGCAGATCCAGATTGCCGCTAGAACCATGTAAGTACTGTTTCATTATCTCTATCTAAACCTGAATCTATTTTTTTTTTGTGTATGTGTGAAAACAGCATACTTGGATTTTGCACAAAAGAGAATATTTGCTTCTAAGTAGGTCCCAGTCTTTGTTGATATACGCAGCACAACTCTGTTTTATAGAATGTATCCTTTACAACTTTTACAACACTTACACAGTTAAATCCAAGGTGCAATAGAAAGGAACATTGATTGTTGTTATCCCCTGTGCATAATCTGTGCATAATCTTCTCTGAAGTATGAGAGAAGCTTCCATCATTAATATCCCAATCACATACTGCAAAACAGTTGTGTATACTACACCTGACTGGTGTTAAAATGGTAAAGGATAATCTTACATTTGCTGCAAGACTCCGAGCCTAGTGTTTATGCGACTTGCAGTTTTACACAGCTTTGGAACTGATCCAGACTTTGCACGGTTCTGATTTACTGTTACAGAGATTCTGGGTAATTGTTTCTCTATGGAAATAGCTCTGCAGTAGATGCTTAGCAAATAAGCTCAAGCTTTCTTCATCTGTACCCGAGTGAGACTCTATATGGATTGCTTAATAATCAGCTGTCATACATACCTTTTCTATTATTTCAGGACTGGGAAAAATGTGAAAAGGGAATAGCTGAGTCCCTTGAAAAGCTCCGCACCTTCAGGAAAAACCTCACCCAAACTCTACCCGACCATCACGATGAACTCCATACAGAACAAATTCGATGCAAGGTAAGGCACTTATATAGATATAGCCATAGGTATAATGTACAAGCCATGTTCTCCAGAAATAGCTTACTTAATTACTTGTGCTAGACAGAACTGTAATGTAATCAGAAAAGAGTAATATGGGGATTAATAATAATAATAATAATAATAAAGCTGTCATGTGACCGGATAACATGACAAAGAAAAAAACCAAAAATATTATCATAATTTAATTCTGATATTCAGCTATGGAGTATTAAAGAACTATTCATGTGGAGAAGGGGAGATAGCATAAACTGTTTTTAGTCTTGTAACAAAAAAACTAAATTAAGGCTACTTTAAATGGAGGGCTGTCTTTACGCATGGGCAAACTGGGCAGTTGCCAGAGGGCATCACGGCCATAGGGGCCCCATAGGCTTGCCAACTTTTTAGTATATTATTCTGTAAATGTATTCAGAACCTTCAACCCTCTTTGTTAAGGTGGACTAATCACCTCAATATCAACTGTTATCAGTACATGCAATCTTGCTGTTGCAAATATATACTTTGACTTTGACAAAAACAACATACACGTCTAACTGTGCGTAAGCAAGACAAAATCAACACGCATCATTTTTGAAGCCTTACAGCTATACGTTCTGACAGTCCATGACAGTTGTCTCCCCCTGCTACCTATTAAACATTTGAAACATAGGTATGGATTAATCTCTGCTTTACATCATGGGCTTTTACTGTTTAAGAACTGGAGGTACCAATAAATATAAGCTCAATTTTACAGATGAGTTACATTTTTGAGCAGGGCCGCAATCAAGGGGTGACAATCATGATGGTTGTCACAAGCCTGGACTGCACTAGTAATGCTCTGCATGTCCAGGCCCCCGGCCCTTCAATATGCATATATAAATATACCCATAGCCCATTGTACAGCGCTACGGAATTTGTTGGCGCTATATAAATAATAAAATAATAATAATAATAATAATATATATATATATATATATATATATATATATATATGTAAAAATAACTGGCTTGCACTCACACTCACTCACATTTTTTTGAAGTAAAAAAGATTTCTTTATTGCAGATTCATAAAACTCTGATCTGAGATCAGAGTTTTATGAATTTGCAATAAAATCCTTTTTGTCATATATATATATATATATATATATATATATATATATATATATATATATATATATCTATATCTATATGAAGTACTGCTATATATATAGTCCTGCTGACTTCACACTGACCTCCGGCACTCTCACAAGCCACTCTCATTTTTTTTTAAACATAATGACATCCACTACACACACTGCATTCACTAGACAAACACACACAGCATCTACTACACAAACACACAAACTGCATTCACTACACACACAGCATCCACTACACAAACTGCATTCACTAAACAAACACACACACCACATTCACTAAACACAAAGCATTCACTACACAAACACACATGGCATCAACTACAAACACACACACAACACATTCACTATACACACTACATTCACTACACAAAACACGCTGCATTCAACATATATACAGCATCAGGGCCAATCCTGGGGTCACTGATGCCTGGGTGCAAGAATATTTTTGGTGCCCCCGGTGGGTGTGGCAATATTGCTAACCCTTCCCCTTTACAAACATAACACTTCTAACCACACCCAATTTCTATGGAAACCACACACCCTCAACCCAGGTCACATGTCACCCACTTCCTACAGTGCCAGTTATGCCCCCCAAAAGCTCATTAGTGCCATATTTGTGTCCAGTGCCCACATACAGATTCCCAGTGCCATCTTTGTCTCAAAATAGCTAATTAATGCCATCTCTCTGTCCCAATATAGCCAATCAGTGCCATTTTAGTCTCAAAATATTTTTGTCCCCATCTTATCAGTGCCACTTTTGTGATAAATAGCCATTTCTGTGCCCAAATTGTTGACCAGTGTCCTTGTTGTCTCAAAATTATTAATCAATGACATTTATTTTTCAAAACAGCTTACCAGTGCCATCTTGTCAGCTGGTAGTGTTTTTGAATGAACTATGTGTAAGCTGGGTATATTTTGCAGAGAGTCAATGTATTTGTTATACAGAAATATATTTACAGATGTATGTGAATTCAAATGAATATTTGTGTATAATATTAATGTGTACAGATGCAAATAAGTCAATGGGACCTGATGGAATACACCCAAAGCTATTAAAAGAGCTTAGTGGTGTACTAGCAAAACCATTAACAGATTTATTTAACCATTCATTGTTAACAGGAGTAGTCCCAGAAGATTGGAAGTTAGCGAATGTTGTGCCCATTCACAAGAAAAGTAATAGGGAGGAGTCAGGCAACTATAGGCCAGTAAGCCTTACTTCAGTAGTGGGGAAAGTGAAGGAAATCATGTTAAAGGATAGGATTGTTGAACATCTTAAAACACATGGATTTCAAGATCAAAGACAAACATGGGTTTACTTCAGGGAGATCATGCCAAACTAATCTTATTGATTTTTTTGATTGATATAACTAAAATTATAGATCAGGGTGGTGCAGTAGACATTGCTTACCTAGATTTCAGAAAGGCTTTTGACACTGTTGCACATAGAAGGCTTATCAATAAATTACAATCTTTAAGTTTGGATTCCAATATTGTTGAATGGGTAAGGCAGTGGCTGAGTGACAGGCAACAGAGGGTTGTAGTCAATGGAATATTCGAAGCTTGGACTTGTCACCAGTGGGGTACTTCAGGGATCTGTACTTGGACCCATTCTCTTTAATATTTTTATTAGTGATATTGCAGGTGGTCTTGATGGTAAGGTATGTCTTTTTGCTGATGCTACTAAGATATGTAACAGGCTTGATGTTCCAGGAGGGATAAGCCAAATGACAAATGATTTAGGTAAACTAGAAAAATGGTCAGAATTGTGGCAACTGATATTTAATGTGGATAAGTGCAAGATAATGCATCTTGGACATAAAAACCCAAGGGCAAAGTACAGAATATTTGATAGAGTCCTAACCTCAACATCTGAGGAAAGGGATTTAGGGGTGATTATTTCTGATGACTTAAAGGTAGGCAGACAATGTAATAGAGCAGCAGGAAATGCTAGCAGAATGCTTGGTTGTTTAGGGAGAGGTATTAGCAGTAGAAAGAGGGAAGTGCTCATGCCATTGTACAGAACACTGGTGAGACCTCACTTGGAGTATTGTACACAGTACTGGAGACCGTATCTTCAGAAGGATATTGATACCTTAGAGAGAGTTCAGAGAAGGGCTACTAAACTGGTTCATGGATTGCGAGATAAAACTTACCAGGAAAGGTTAATGGATCTTAACATGAATAGCTTGGAGGAAAGACGAGACAGGGGGGATATGATAGAAACATTTAAATACATAAAGGGAATCAACACAGTAAAGGAGGAGACTATATTTAAAATAAGAAAAACTACCTGTACACTCTTTAGCTCCACTCCCTTTCGTTGGCCTCTTTAGCCACTCTCCCATCCTATCTGCTTATGTAGCCCCCTTCCTGTGCCCTCTTTAGCTACCTTCCCTCCTGTGCCCTCTTCATTAGCCACCTCCCTTAGCAGGACCCCTCCTACCTCCCATCCCCGGTTGCTGAAGGGGTGAAAACCGCTTCAGTAACTTACCAAAGGCAGCGACGATGTCCCTCGTCGCTGCTTCTTCCTGATCACGCCCGCCGGCTGGGGAGACCTTTCTTGCACCTTCCCCTTTTTGTGTCCCCTTTAACTACCTACCCTCCTGTGCTCTCTTTTGCCCCTCCCTGTGTCCTCTTTAGTCACCTCCCCTCCTGTGTCCCTCTCCCCCCATCCCCTTATGTAGCCCCCTCCCCTCCTGTGCTCTTCTTTTTGCCCCTTCCCTTCTTGTGCCCTCTTAGATCCCTTCCCTCACTTGTGCCATCTTTAGCCCCTACCCCACCCGTGAACTTATGTAACAAGGGCGGGCCATGTGGGCAGGCTCGGAGGTGGGCTAAGAGGTGGGCCCTGGGGGCCCAGAATTAGGGTTGCATCAGGGGCCCCAAAATTTCAGATGGTTGTGTAGGCAAGGCCCCAGTGCACTGCTTTACTCTGTGGCTTATAATGCTGTTAAGACAGTTCTGACAGCTATCTGATTTCCTGTGACCCCATTCTTGGTATTGGTTACTTACATGTAAATGGGTTCTTACAATTTATTAACTGAAATGTGAATGGCAAATTTATAGACAAGCTGTGATTGTAGCTGCATTAACAATTTTTTCCAGTTCATCTTCTTTGACTAAATGTTACATTTCTAATTTCAAGTCACTACAATTCAGAATTTAAGCTATAAACACCTAAGAGTACTTTTATATCTGAATCTTAAAGGGTTTGCAGACTTAATGTACCTGTAATTTACTAAATTCCGTATTTAAATCCTTTTTGTTTTAAGTTAGTGCAATTTCAGATTTGCAGACAGGATGCAGCTGCATGCATGTGAATAGGAAGTGGTTAATAAAATTCAATGCTGTATTTTTTAAGGAGGCATGCTAATTAAAGAATTTCTAGAACGAGTGTCTCAACCAACTAGTGGACTGAAATTACCATGACTCTAAGCCAGTCTTTGGGAAATCTGTATCTTACTAAGCTCTTGAGTTGCCTGTTAGATATTAATACTTAAGCACGTAAATCATAAACGTCAAAAAGTATTAAAGTACATATATTGGACATAAAAATGTTTGGCTTTATTTATTTATAAAAATTCTTTATACATAAAGATATCACACTTCAGTAGTAACAAATACTGCAGCCCAAGTAAAAATATCCAAATATTAAGTTACACACATATTAAGTAAACACTAAACAATTGTTCCTTGTGGAGAAAAGGGGATAGCATAAATCATTTTTGGTCTTATAACAAAAAAAAACAAAACATTAATTTGGAGACTTAAAGGAACACTATAGCTTCAGGAATATAAATGTATTCCTGATACTATAGTGCCTGTGTGTCTGTTTAGGTCCCTAGAAACCCTTAGATAGCTCAGTGATTTTACACATATTTTTCCCATGCTGCGTCTCTGTGGCAATTTTGATGATCTCAGCCAATCCAATCCTTTTATATAGGAAAACATTAGGAGGCTATTGCACACGTTTAGAAAAATACTGTCCTGTGCCAATCAGCATTGAATCTCTATATCTATAAGCATCTCTATGGGGAAAGTTCAACGCCTCCATGTAGAACATGGAAACTCTAAACCTCAGTGCTGCACACTGTGCAGCACTGACACAGGAAGCACCTCTAGTGGCTGTCTGAGTGACTACTATTCGAGGTGTCCCTAGGCAGTTCTGTAAACAAAAGGCAGTGTTTACATTAAAAAGACTGCAGGGACAGTCTATAGACACCAGAGCCACTACATTAAGCTGCACTTGTTCTGGTGACTATGGTGTTCCTTTAAGTTACTGTGTAAAATATTTAAATATTGGATGAGAAATACAAACTTTTTATCTTTGTATTTGCTAGCATCTTACTAACATATTCCTCAGTTTACTATATGTGGATATGCTTTTTAAATAATTTAACATTTCTGCACATACTTTTAACCAGATATTTCGAAATATTAAAAATTATATCATACATAGATAAATAAATCAATTCTAATATTGATATATGATTTTTTTTTAAATATTAAAAACATTTTAAAAGTGTATCCGAAAATATTAAATCATTTGAAAAGCTTATTCAAACATATTAAAGGGATTCTATAGTCCCAGGAAAACAAAGCCGTTTTCCAGGCACTATAGGTTTAATAGGTCCCCTCCTCTCTGGCTCTCCCCTTCTGGCGATGCTGAAGGGATTACCTAAATCCAGTGCCGATGTCCCTTGGCGCTGGGTCAGGCTCTGCTCATGCTCCTCCCCCACCAATGTCAGCTGGAGGGGGAGACCTACTGCGCATGCGCTGCAATGGCCGTGCATGCATTAGACCTCCCCATAGGAAAGCATTAATCAATGCTTTCCTATAGGGAAAATCTGATACTGAAGGTCCTCATTAAGAGCATGAGGACGTCCGTTTCAATTTTGGAAGCGCCCCCAGTAGCCCCCAGTGGTAGACAGCCACTGTGGTCAGACTTAGAGCTGCAATGTAACACATTGCAGCACTAAGTGCA